TGATGTTTCGCTGAACCAAGATGTAATCAATCAAATAGTGAATGAGCTTGTTCTCCATGGTTAGTGACCCAACTTCGGTCAATTCACCTTGTACATAGTGATAGTTAACTCTTAGGCAAGATTTATATATTTCAACAGTGTGTCGTATGAGTTCCACAACTCATTACTACAATATCCCAGAGGAGATCCATCACAAGTCAATCCTCCAACCTCCAAAAACAAACTCTCATCCAAACTAAACAATTTTCCTTTCACCACACTAAGATGCTTCCCATCCTTAAACTGAAAATTAGCATAGAATTCCCTAACAAGAGAGGGGTATATTTTACCATTCAATTCCAAGGTATTGACCCCTTGTGCCTCCAAATCGTGTGGGAACTCGAAACCTTGTTCCACCATCCATGCCATGTTGGCATACTGAATGTAGGTAAGCTTGCAGCTCACAAATTTGGCTAGTCTCTCATCCTGAACAGCATGAGCATAGAAGGGATCCTCACGAATAGAGGGATTCCGCCCAGCACTAGAAGATGAGCCTCCTTCGTCTTGATTTCTCACACTACTAAATTATCGAGGAGGGCGGATGGAAATGGTCTTCACTCATTGCCCCCCCCCCCTTCATTATAATGTGCAGTTTAATGATGGAATAACTGATTAATGAAATTGATTTGATAATTTAGGTTTTAGAGTTTTTAAAGAGGGAAAATGGTTGGTTTAGGAATTTGAGGTCGATTGATGGGTTAAAAGTTGAGAAGAAGAATGGAAATTGATTTGGGTTGCTTGGACTATGATTTGAGACAAAAAAGATGAGATAATTTTCGGAGAAGAAGATGGAGAGTACGAGGTTTGTGTTTTCTTGGAAACTGAAAAATAGTGTATTTGAAGTTGTTCTGTCACATAATTTAATCGATTAAGGGCACGATAATCGATTATCAAATTTAAAGATTTTGCCCAGATGATTGATTATTCACTTGATAATCGATTAGCTTACACACATAGTTGGGCAGTAGTTGCCCTTGGAACTCAAATTGGTCCAATTAATCGATTAATTAACATATAATCGATTATTATTTTAAAACTTTTTTCCCAAGTAATTGATTAAGCATCCACTAATCGATTAAATGCAGTGACTTCACATATTTGAGTACATGACTAGAAAGAAAATCCTAAAGACTCAAGACACATTAACACGCACAACAAAAAACGTCATGAATTTCAAGTAATCACAAGAAATATGCATTAAAGAAAGAATTCATAAAGGCATATTACAATATCACAAAATAAAGTTATCAAGATTATACAAGAACCTAATACGAGCTAACTAAGATATGATTCATCAAGTATTTCAAGTTCTCTGCGCAAGAAAAGGATGAATCCCTAGGAAGGAGTTTGGTGAATATATCAACCAATTGTTTTGAGGTTTATACAAACTCAATAACACAATCATCTTTGTGCGCATGATCTCTAAGAAAATGATGCCTAATTTCTATATTCTTTGTTATAGAATACAAGATGAGATTCTTTTATAGGTTTATGGCACTAGTGTTATCACACTTGATAGGGATAGGAAAATATTTTCTAAACATAGGAAAATCTTTTATATTTTATAGAACTTCTAAGATGATTGATTGGGTAGAGTCTAGGCTAGGTGAACCTAGGATGGAAGTCTCACAAAGCTTAAAAAGTAAACCAATTTAAAATGAGACATAGCATCCATTCATACATGATAGATAAGTTCATGCATATACATTTCACAAACATGATTCTATTGCATTAAAGTGTTGCATACTTAAAGTCATGCATCAAATACTCATACATCATGTAGAAGGTTCATCCTGCATCAAAGAAATAAGTTTTCAACATCAATAATCAAGTGTCATAATCAATTAGATAGAATGTGGGAAGCCAGTAATCGATTATGTATAGGAATAATCAATTATATAGAGTTCCAGTAATCGATTATGTATAGGAATAAGACGATAATCGATTACATCATTAGATAATCGACTAGAACTAATAGAAAATAGTTTTGTATAACAACTTATTTTTCACCCATGTGCTCATAATAATGTGCTAGAAACTTTTATGTGAAAAGAGAGAGTTTTGTGAATCTTTGAAAGAGCTTTTATTTTCAAGAATTTATACTTTTCAAAGATTTTCGTTTTTGTTTTATAATGAGATTGTGAGATTCATCAAATGATTATTAGTTATTAATTTTAATGTATGTTTAGCACATCAAGGTGCAAAGAACTTTATACATATTTTACCAATCGATTTATAAATTTGTCTCTTTGGGGTGTGAGGCATCACCTTGGAAGAAGAGAGAAATTTAGGGAGAAATTCTAGGTTGAGGTCACGTCTAAGAATATGTCTCTTTGGGTATACTTGGTTAGAAATGGTATGGATCCATTAGAAGCTAGGTCCAAGGGAATTCTTGGTGGAAGAAGTGATTGTATAAACATTGGATTTCTTCTTAATAAAAGAAAATGTCCCAAAATTAGAAGGGAGAACTGGATGTAGATTGCAATGGATGGCACTCGAACTAGGATAAATCGATCGTGTTACTTTCTCTCTTTCCCTACACTTTTACTTTCGTGCAATTATTGTATTTCGTTATATTTGATTACATTCATATAGAAATTATTGCATAAGTGAATTTGAATGATTAACCACTTTCATTGAACTATTTAAGTGCATATTAGATCATTGCTTTCTTGCTGCTTCAAGAACAAAAGATTTTAAAGAAAAATCAGCAAATATTATCATTGTTTTCTTGCTTCATCATCAAGTAGAGCATTATCTACCATCTTTGGTTTCACTTTTGAAACCAATATTTGGTTCAACTCTTCTTGAACACATGATGTGGCTTTTATTTTGCACCAAGACTTCTATTAATAAGATATTGTGGATGATATTTCTTGAAGTTTCATGTCTTTTGACCAAATTAAAGTTATGAATTTGGATTTTCTTATTGGTCATCCATCCACTGATTCATTATGCTTCTCATTGGCTTGCTCTTCTGAGATGCTAAGTTAGAATCCCATTCTAACAAAGGATTCTTGTGGTTCCAGAGGATCCAGCTACAGGAGAACCGGAAACGGAGAGCCCCCCCCCCCCCTTTTTTTCTGCCAAACTCTTTGGTATTAAGAATGCTGGTTTTAAGAATTTAAGAATGAGTGATTGCCCTTCTCTGACCCTTCTTTTCCAACTTGAGAGCGGGTAGCTAATGTGTTCCGCTTTTTTTTGAACAGGTTTCTATGGTCGGTCCGCGACCCTCGGGATGCAGAAGGCCTCCTTGGGGTGATCTCATAGTTCCTATGGGGTGGAGACGACGGGGTCGGTCCATGGATTTTCTTTCCTTTTGCCGCTACAAAGGCTTCGTCAACCTTTGAGAGTCTCTTATCTGACTATTTGTCATCAAACCTTACGAGGATAGATTCTTCTATTCCTAAGCTTCAAAAATTATAAACTTTAAACCCTTTAGAGGTTTTAGAATATCCTAACAGTATCTCGTTATCAACTTTGGCATCAAAATGGCCTAATCCCTATTTTTGAATTTAAGATAATATATACATTTTCAACTAGCAGACTATGTTAATAGCTTCAGCCCAAAAGTGTTTAGGAATGAAGTTATTATTTAGCAATCTTCTAGCCATCTAAATTATGGACTATTCCATTATCTTACAAAACTTCAAAAATCAACTCATTTTCACACTTCTCTCCCTATTCACTTCTAATTGAAACGATACACTTGCCCTTTTAATTTTGTACACGATTGCAGAATATATGAGCCCACATAGCCCATATACATCTCGTGTAATCGTCTATATCGACAACACAATATTTCTTGCCACTAACAGAACAAGTCCTTGTAGGACCAAAGAAATTAATGTGCAACACCACAGACGCAAGCTTGTTACATACATGTGTTCACCTCAGTACAATTAAACGGTGACTATATTCATTTTACAAAATTGTTTCTCACGGTGACTCTAGATTCATGCTAAGTTTTTGTCGCGCCCCGATTTTCGGCTACTTGACATCTTTCGGAGTCGTCACCATGTTTGTTGCGGTTAAAATAAGGAAAACTCAATTTAAGGTCAAAATTGTATAAAAATGGTCTTTTTAATTTGGGTTATGGATTCGGGAGTCGATTACGGAGTATAGAAGATATTAGAACCCGTCTGCCCGTATTAAACGATACTCTCGCTAATGACATAGACTTTTATACCCTTAAAATTATTTTTTAAAATTCGATAACGAAAGCAAAAATGTTTTATTTTTTATATTTGTGTCTGACAAGAGATTGTCTTGCTCATACATATCCCTATATGCAATAGGAAATCAAGACTATGTAGTTCTGGTTATAGAAATTGATTAATTTAGTTTAAATAGATCTTATCTACTTTAAGAAATGATGCAGCAACAGAAGTTAATGTCCGCACCGCATCTACATTCAAAAAGGTTATTTAAAATGATTAGGACATATTTGAAATATAGTTGAAATTCTACCATCTTAGCATAAACTAATATCCGCACCGCATCAAGTCTTAAAGAAGTTTTAAAATAATTAAGACATTTTTGAAAGATAGTTAAAATTTATTTATCTTTAAGATAGATAAAACATAAGCTAATGTCCACAGCGCATCAAATCTTAACGAATATTTTAAAATGATTATAAGAAGATGTTAAAAGGATTATAATAGTTAAGACTAGTTTGTAATACACTTAAGAATTCAAAAATCTTTAATTTTATTTTCTTCTTAAAGAATCCATTTTTTAATTACTTGATTTTTATAAACTTATATAGGTAAGATACTAAGCTAAATTAGTGAGGTCCTTTAAACTAATGGATCAAGTTGCATGGACTAAGGATTAGTGGAATTTTTTATTTATAAAACATATACTAAGGAATTAGTGGGATTAAGTGAGAATACAAGGCATAGTAGTAAAAGACTAAACCAAATAGAAATTAGCCACAAAGGAATTATCCCTTTATTTACGTCTGCAAAAAGAGGGATGAGAATGCAATCCTTAATTCCTTTCTTTTCTCCCTCACTTCATCTCCTTTCTCTCTTCTCATCGGCGCCAGCTCACGTGAAGAAGAAGCGGCAGTGGTGCAAGAAGAGGACCATCCATGGCTGAAACCGAGCCGGTCCAGGGGGCACGGTGGCGGTGAAGCCTCAAGGCAACCGTCCTCTTTCCTTAGCTTGCAACCAAGAGCGTGACGGCTTTGATTCGCGGGGGTGAGGGAAGACAACGGGTTCCCCTCTTCAGCAGCGGTTACCGTCAACAATGGGGGTTCCGACATAGGAGTTTCATCGATAGAGATGGAAAACAAAGTACAACATCGACGAATGTAATATGGTAACTCTATTTCTAGGCTCATGTATTTGGTATCTCTATGATTTCTGGATTATGTTTCACTTTGGGTATCTCTTGAGTATCCTTGGCTAGCTATTTTGATTATCTTAGGATGAACATTCATACTATTCCTAAGCCGATATAGAACCACGAAGGGAATAATAGTTATTTAATACCTTAGATTGATGTCTATGATCATATTAGTCATCAAGATGCAACATATTCATAGTAACTCATATACAAGTTTTCAAAGATAGAAAAAAATGACATAGGGTAGAGGATTATTCGCCTTAGGTGATAAGGGATACATTACCTGCTTGAGGCTTAATTTCCGGTTTGCTTTGGAGATGTTGGGTTTGTTGAACCAGGTTAAGCTGTATGCTTTGTGTGTTGTAACATGTGATCTTTGATTGCTGTAAAATCTACCTCATTGTATACTATATTGGGGTTGCTTGCGAGAAGTTTGTATTTCCTTTCTCCTTTTGAATTCCTCTCTATTATGCCTTGTTGAGATCACTATTTTATGATCTGCTTATAATTGTTGATTATCATTTTAATGCTAGTCATTATTGTTGCCTAACTATGTTGAATTTACCATCTGCATATCCTTAGTGTCATCTTTTTGGAATTATGTTGATTAGTGAATTTATTCAGTGTATTAAATGTGTTTATTTAGTGCTGTTTTTTTAATCCTGTTTGATTGCCTTTATTATCTTGTTGATTTGATTTCTTTTCATTTTCAGTGATTAGTGATTGAGTGTTGCCTTTGTTAAGGGGAGATCTTCTCATTAAGATACTTGAAGAAGTTAAGGGAGGATTTGGTTTCTTTTAAGTGAATGAATGTATCATGCCTTTTTAGTACCAAATGTTGCATAGCTAGCTTGTTGCATGCTATTCGGAATGTAATTTATTGTTTGCCTTAAACACTTATTATTGCCTTACTGTGTTAGTGCTCAGCATCATTTCAATGATTTTGAACAATGTTAATTTTACTGCTCAGTCACTGCTTGAATTAAGCATACTGTTATTATTGTTTGAATTAATCTTATTGTCAACTGCTTGAACTACTTTATGTTGTCTTTTATTGCTCAAATGTTACACAATCGATTGATATCCTTAATTTTAGTATATAGCCAAAAGTTATAACAAAGCATGGTTGGAATCATGACAAAAATATTGTATATTAAAACATTATTTTCAGACATCATAAATTGCAATTTGAATTTACAAAATTCTTTTACTATTTATTATTAATTTTTTGGAAGAAATTTTGGGCCGGACAAAATTGAATGTTTACACTAATCACCCTTAGAAAATTGTCTATTCAATAATTCATCATCACTATGTTAATATTTGTATAATGGCTAGGGGTGGAAACAAGTCAGGTCAGACAAGACTTTGCCTTTAAACAGGCCGAGCCTATATAGCATATAGGAGTTTGGGCCTGACCTGATAGTCTGTTTAAAAAAATTCAAAGTCTAGGTCTAACCTGTTTAAAAGTCTAGTCTGTTAACCTGTTTAAAGGCTTGCTATGGTAAAAAAATTCAACATACAAAATAGAAAAAATTATTATAATTATAGCAATTAGTATGAAATTTTTTACATTGTTATCACAATTATTTTCATCATCTTCCAATGTTGCGTAATGTATTTGAATGATTTGTAGTGCCTTTGAGGTAAGAATATACAAAACAATGTCTTTAATATCATAGTAAAATATGATATTGTCCTAATATTTAACATGAGTTGGGTTATGTATTTAAGTCTAAGTCTCAACAATTAAATATCCAATTATTAAATAGTATAATCTTTAAATCCTAGTGGAATTACATAAAAAAATTATTATTTAGTTTTTTGTACATGTTATAAAAAAATTATAAATATATAGTAACATTGCATAAGCTGACCTGTTAGACTTAATAGGCTTTTTAAAAGGTATGAGTCTGACATATTTCGGTTAAATAGGCTTTTGGAGAAGCCTAAGTCTAACTTGTTTACTAAAAATGTCTGATCTGATCTGACCTGTTATAAGTCAGGTAATAGGTCCCTGATAGGCGGTCTGACTTGTTTTCACCCTTAATAATGGCATAAAAACACAGCTTTATATCTATTTTGGTAGTTGTCAATAATTTTTAGACTAATATTTATGCACTCTCAGTATAAAGATTTATATATAATCATTACATTATTCACTATTCATTTGTATAATGACACAACTTTATACTTATTTTGGCAGTTCTCAATAATTTTTATATTGTCATAATTATTTACTGTAAGTATAAAGATTTATTTACCGTCACTGCATTATCCACTGTTCATTTGGATTACTTTTGTTCAAGATTCAATGATGATTAAATATAAATGATGAATGATATAATGACAATGTATAAAACTTATGCACGGACGGTGTATATGTAACATCCTGATTTTTGAGTCTTTAAAATTATAGTATCAGTCCTGGAAGTCTCGTTTGAGCGAGAAAGGATCACCTGGGAGGGTGAAATCCTGGACTATACTGGAGGATTCTCGCCCGAGCGAAAGTTGTCTCGCCTGGGCGAGAAATGACAATTTTGGGCTGATAACACAGTGTAATCGATTACATGGTCCTTGTAATCGATTACATGCTGATATCTGATCAGACATGTGTAATTTTCATGATGTAATCGATTACACTATTCATGTAATCGATTACACTATGCATGTAATCGATTACACTATGCATGTAATCGATTACATCATATAAAAATATCAGATACGTGCATCACTGTGAGATTCTCGCCTGAGCGAGAATCCCTCGCTTGGGCGAGAGCGTCAGAGCTATAAAAGTAAGGAAAGGGTTTCACAAACCCTAATCTTCACTTCTTTTATCCCCTTTCACTCCTAGCGGCGACTCCTCATAGATTTCGACCATTCCCTAGACTAAACCTCAAAACACATCAAAACCTCTTCCTCTTGCTTCTTAATGGAACATTGGAGTGCTTTGGAGATGAAAAAGTAACAATGGAGGTTGAAGGAGATGGAGGGAGATGAAGCTCTTTTGCGGAGCAACGGAGCTTACGCAACCTAAGGTGAGGGAGAAGACTATTGTTGTCTTAGAGTAATTCATTAGAGTCATCATTCTCCGATTTCCCTCAAGAATTGGAGCATATTAACGGATAGAAACTCTTTTGGGTGTTTATGGCCCATGTGAGAAGATGGTTCTAACGTTAATGTGTTATATGATAAAGAATATGTTGTGTGTGGTTTAGTTATGATAATGTTGTGTTATGGATGGTTGATTTGCTATAAACATATATGGGTGTGTTTGTATCAATGTTTCTGTGATAAGTTGTTGATTTGTTGATTTGTGGGTATATTTGTAATAATGATTTTGTGGGGAATGGCTTGTTGGTGGAAAATTGACATAATTATATTATGTGATGGTGATGTGGTGAGTGGTTTTTATTGTGGAAGGATATGAGTTACATTATGTTTATGACATTGATGTGGTATCCTGTGTTTTGAGGAAGTTGCAATGTTAGAATAATGCAATAGAAATATTATATTGCGATTGATGTTGTTGTATGGAGTTTGACCTGCCCTTCGTGGTATGGAGTTTCACATGCCCCTCGTGGTATGGAGTTTGACCTGCCCCTCGTGGTATGGAGTTTGACATGCCCCTTGTGGTATGGAGTTTGACCTGCCCCTCGTGGTATGGAGTTTGACCTGCCCCTCGTGGTATGGAGTTTGACCTGCCCCTCGTGGTATGGAGTTTGACCTGCCCCTCGTGGTTTGGAGTTTGACCTGCCCCTCGTGGTATGGAGTTTGACCTGCCCCTCGTGGTATGGAGTTTGACCTGCTCCTCGTGGTATGGAGGTTGACCTGCCTTTGTGGTATGGAATTTTGATATGCCTTCGTGGTATGGATGTGACCTGCATTCGTGATGTTGATTTGATTGGCCCTTTGTGATATTGGGTGGTCATAGTTGTATTGTATTGTTGTAGAAGTGTTGTACTGATGCGTTGAAATGTCTAAAAGAAATGTGATGATTATACTGATTGAATAGGTGCACATTATGTGGTTTAAGGTATTGACTGGTATATAAATGGTATATGTTTACTATGATTGATTTGAGATGATTGTATTGGTTTTTATACTTTAATGATATTACTCCATGTAATTCCACGCTACGGTCACCGTAGTTGGTTCTTAATCCCTCTGCTTTTCCTTGTCTATGTGTTATATATGAGTTCAGGATGTTGCTGTTGCGTCGTGGATGATTGCTGATGGGAGTATAGATTGGAGTAGTCATTTTTGTATTCCGAAATTATATTTGTATAATGTATGTACTATGAGAAATATGTTGAAGTAACTATGTTGTATAAATGAACTTTTTCGAAAGATGCCATAAGATTAGCATGAATACCTTTATCAGTGTTGTAATTGAAACAAAGGATAATTGTATGAATTATGAATTAAAATAGAATGTGATGTAATGTTTTTGATGAAAAAGTATTATTGATTATTTCCGCATTTTGAATTGAGAAACTTAACTAATATTTACATTTAATAAAGTTTCAAAATTTTCGAGTTTTGAAAATCGAGTCATTACGGTATATATTTTATTCTTCTAAATTTTATTCTTTTGTGCTGTTTTTTTTTTGGGCTGATTGGCATTAAACCATTTGTCTATGTTTTGTTTGCAATTCTTTTGGTGCAGTGAATAAGTTGAGACGAGTTTTATGCTGATTGGCCCAATACTGAAGCTTTTTATTCGGCCGTGTCCGATTCCTCTTGAGACAAGGAAGTCATGTGGAAAAGTAATACAAAAATAAATTGTATTGACATTTGGATCATTTTATTTATAGTAATAACACTTTTACTCTTAAAGTTAGAAGCTAAAATGGAACTTCCCTCTACTAGAGAGGATACTGATTCTTTGTCCACATGATCATTAATAAGGATTTCTCAAAATGGTGTCTTAAATCTGAGAGGTGTAAGAATTGATTGCAGGCCTTATGATTGCAATTCTGCTAATTTCTAGTTAATTCAGTTAACTATGAGCCTTATTCATAATTGATTTGTCAAATTTAATATATAAGGAATTGATATCTAATATGAAAAATCCATGACTTTGATTTTTCTTTGTTGATGATCATTACACATTTTCACGTGATCCGTAATATCACATATTCTTTTCATGACCATAATATTGCAAATCAGATTTTACGTGGAGAACACCATACATCATGTACTGAATATTTCCATAATTGCTTTTAGCCTTTTACATGTTATTTTTAAGTGAACGGTTTGACTTGAATCATTAAGATTCAAATTGAGGAAACTAAATCATTTTCCAAGGCTGGAGTAATATATTCTACTGTAGTATTAACATGACATATTTTCCAACATAAACATATTACTCCACTGAATTCGTCAAACCCTATCTTCAATGAATCCTTCAGCAAAATGAACAGGAAGTGACTTAAGTAAGAACAATTACTAATATGAGAAATGTGAAAAATTACTATGTATCATTGAATCTTATTTTAATGATCAAAAGTTAAATATAAATGCATATGACTTTTTTAAATCATCATTGAACATTAACTAAATAATATGATTAGATGATCACTTAAAAAATAATTATTCACATTTATTTTTTAATCTTTACAATTTAAAGATAATTCAATGACTTACATTAATTTTTCATTTCTCCCTGTAATAATTGTTTATAATAATTGTTCTTACTTGCTTGAATGAGCAAGTATGTTCATACGAGTGAGACTTCTCTTTATTAATAAAGATGAAAGTGATTATTTGTTTTGAATTTTAAAGGTAAAAGTGTAATTTAATTTTAGACATAAAAGACATAAATGTCAATGCATATTATTTTTTTTTAATATTATATAGTAATTCTCTCTTCATTAATGGGGAGGATTCTCGGTCTGTTGATACAATATTAATAAA